ATGGTGATCATCCATAATAAATCGTGGGTTCTCTTTAGGAATCCCCCCATGGTCATTCATGGGCCCACCATTATCGGACGTGGAGGCACTGTCAACCAACTTAGTAACACTTAGTCTGAGATCTTTCTGCCCTTGGATGACGGCATGAAGAGTTTCCACGAGCTGGTTCATTCGATCACCCATGGTGTACATGTCTTTGCAGAGGGAAGCTTGGTTCTGCTCAATATGTTCCATAATCCTCAACTTGTTAGCTCGAGTGCGGTAAGGATGTAGGGAAGTCGTCTTATGGATTATGATAATATGAGGCAAAACCATCAGATAAGAATTCCCGCTAGAAAACCTGTAATTCATGAAATGCAGGATATGTATGATGTATGAAATGATTGTCCATTCTGGTTTTCCATAGATCAATTATTGTCAGTAATAATCAAGCAACATGATGATAAGAACAACCATATAAAGAAAACACCCCGGTATAGGAGAAATTCCCACGGAATTCAATACAAGAGAGTTGTAAGGGTACAAGATAAGCTATTTCGTCCAACAAGCCTAGCGGTAATCGAGATAAAAATATCTTAATCAGTCTTAAGGTAGGGTACCATTCTTCCTCCATCTCTATCTCACATCACTAAGGCCCAAATAAAGTGCCTTAGCAATAGCTTCAAAATCATGCTCGTTTAGAACAGCACAAGTATGTGCTCGGTAATCTTGAACAAATGAGATTATTCTTCCGGAGTTGGAACAATCTGATAGTCCTGGAAGGTGAAACAGTGTAACTCGTAGTCGTAAAACTGAAATAGATTCAAAGCACCACCATGTCTTCCAAAAAATCTCTGCATTAGGACGGACTAAACGGTCTTTTAAACTCATCAAAGAAGGCCGAGAACTTGAGCAGAAAACTTGAGCGACACTGATAAGTACAATTGTCTCTCTTAGTCCTCTTGAGAACATCACTGTTTCTAGACGTTACTGACGGAAACTATAACTTTGTGAGATACCCCGGAATGGACATACACATGCAAGGTTAGTATATAGCTTTATTTTTTTGACATTTCTTTTGAAAAAATAAATATGGTATGATGTAAGTGCAAATGGTCATGGGGTTACTACTTCCATGATACTAATTTTTGCGTTACTGTCTCTGCGTAGTCTGTAAGTACCAGGATCACAAGTCCAGAAAAAGAACCTCACGAACAGATTTGGAACTTAGAAAATAAATCTGAGAACCTTATAGTCGCTGATAGAAATCCAGAACATAACCATTAGAACCAATAGTCACCGTCTGAGCATAGTCACCAACTGTACCTGTAATAAAAAATTCCCTCCCCACTCACGGGTGAAGACAAGGTCAGGGTAAAGCAAGGGTAACTCGAAAATCACGGGTTCTCTTAAAAGTAAAATCATCGCAACACATACGTGCATGATGAAAGTACCTCCAATTGAACCTCATTCGAGTGTGGTATATGACATGACTGCGCTATTCGGACCACATCTTATAGCCGTCATTCCCCCACTCTATTCCTAGTGTTCTAGTGCACTCTGGCCTGGGTACTGGGCCTTTTTACCTCAATAGTAACATCCCAACCCAATCAAGAAGCAGATCCATTACAGCAGTAGTATATGGAAAATAGTAAAACATAATGCATACATATGCTTAGGTACATACAAAATGAATAAGCCATAAAGCATATAAATAAACACCCAAAGAAAATAAGGCAAGAGCTAGGAGCGACTCCAGGATGGACCAGCATTTGGTCGACCTATCCCCAGTGAAGTCGCCAGCTGAAACAATCGGCTGAAAATCATCAAACAATGAAGTCTCCATCAAACGTCTTTTATCCCACATGTAAGGAAAGGTGAACATCAAGAAAACCTGATAAGGGAGAAGTCACGACCTTGCGACCGAGAGATCGGGTAAGGGAGTCTGTTACGCGAGGGGAAGGTATTAGCACCCCACACGCCTATTGTACTCTACGGTATCCATTCTTGTTGGCTATCTTATGGGTGTGTTTAATCTATGCTTACTGTTTACTATATTATTGAAGGGAGAATGTATGCAAAAGAAATGAGAAGAGAATGTAGGTAAAACAAAATTGTACTCACTCGGGCCTTACCCCAATTCCTACGTATCCTTTTTGAGGAATCAGAGCTACCGTAGTTTGGCTTTAAATGTTTTTGTTGGTTTGCATTTTTTATGGACAATGTTAATTCCTCCTTCTGCCGCAGCTCGACCTTTGGAGACTCACGCGTTGGCACAGAAGAAAACTAATCACGCCCTTACGTGAAATGGGTTTTAGAGAAAAGGTGTTAGGGGCACCAAAAAGTTTGAATTGGTTTGTATTTTGTTACAGATAATGACTAGTTGACCTCAAGAGAGAGATATTAGCCACTTTTCTACTTATCCATGAAAGGAGTCTTTGAGACTTGACCCACACCTAGGCTTGAGATGGAAGAACAATAAGATCGAGAAGAGACCCACTTATCATTTCCCATATTAAGCAAAGGCATGATTCTCATCAGTAGTTTTAAAGTATTTTGAAGTTTGAAAGGAAAAAGAAGTTTTCATTTTGATGCAAATGCAAAAAGGGGGGAAAAGGTCAAAAGGGGGGACTAGCCTATTTTTAAACCTAATGTTATCGTGCATTGTTGGACCTAAAGTTATAATTTTGAGGGAATTTTACCTAACATTTGCATGCTTGGATTTAGAATCCTAATGTCTAATCTAAGTTCAATTAAATCGAAGATTAAATTTGAACCAAAATATTCTAAGGGATCATGAAAGACTATATAAACAAGTAAAATTGGTAACAAGTATTAAAATATAGCATACGATCCATACTTGAAAATCGCAATCAAAATACATGATATAAAATGAATAAAACTAATGATTAAAATTGACTAAAAGTTAGTAAAAGAGGAAATATATTCCTATTTAATTCCTAAAAGATAATTTTTTTTAATGTTTTTATTATGTATTTTATTGACAAAATTACGAAAAATAAAAACAAAACAAAAGTAATAGAAATTATGAAACTTCTAAAGTCAGAGGGAGTGTGGAACTGCAATTAGGGTGTTTGCCGTAGTAACAATGGCGCAAGTCCAAAGGGAACGGTCCAATAAGCCAATTTTTTGTCCAAGATACCATCCCCAAAAAATAGACCAAACAGACCAAGAGAAGATGCACACCAGTCCGGTAATAATCTTCTGTTTGCAAGGCCTTCCAGTGCAAAAAAAATGCAAGACCAATGAGCCTAGCCCCAAGATAAAATATGATCAAAGAAACCATAATCCTAATCCATCACCCCTGTAATCAGGTTTTTTATCAATTGGGGGGAAAGTTAAACAAAATCAGGTAAAACGACATCATTGTATCGCTAGGGTTACGATGTATGACCACCAGATTTCAACTGAAACAGAGGAAATGTTCCTTCTCTTCCCAGACGAGATCTGCTGCAGCTTCACATCTATTCTCCTTGAACTCATCATAATTGCTTACACATGCAAACCACTGCAAGACACCATGGAATACCTCACCTCAGCCTCATTTCACTGTCCTTTCTCCTTTCTTCTTAACACAGTGGTGGCTTTAACTTAACCTTCCTTTCTTTTCCCTCTCATCGGTTTTCCCCCTATATCTCACACTCCAATCTACTCACTCTGTTCAAACAACTCAAAATCGAGACGAAGCCAAGCCCTAAATATAATTACATATGCAGAGGAGAGGCGAATATAACGAATTCAAAATAACGTATAAAGATGGGATTGAGATCGAGGCTTACCTCTCGGAGTGCCTCCGATGGTTCTTCAAATTGAAAGGCGACATCGAAGAAATTATGAACCTTCAGGTATTTCACTCTTTTCATCTTCTTCTTCTGATAACTTCTTGTTTTAGTATTTTTCGCTCTATATTCAACTCTTCTTCTTATACTCTTCTTCTTCTTCTCTTCGCTTTGGATGCCTTCTATGTGTTTTGGCTTGTGTTCTTGGATTTACTGTGTTATTGCATGAACAGAAAGTGTGAGGATTGAATTGAGTAGGAGATCCTGATTGAGAGATGAAGGTGAGGGGTTGCAGGGTGAGGCTTGAGTATTGAAGGAGAAAGGTTCGTATGAAACTGATGAAAAGAAAGATGAAAAATGGTGGTAAGGGTCTGAATGATGTATGAATATTATGCAGAGTGGAGAATACAAAATGTTAGTGGGTGATCATGATGAATGAAAAAGGTGCAGTCATATAGATTGATTAGGGAAGCCTTGAGCCATTGGATCTCAGAATTTGGTTATGAGATGGAGGGTTGGATTGCAGTTTGGAAAATCCACTTAGAGATGATTTGAATTCTGTTTGAGAATTAGTTAGGGAATTTCAGTTAGAAGTTTGCTGGTTCTGTAATGAAGGTGGTTAGAAGTTGGTTGGACTTGTTAGAAAGTTTGTTAGGATATGGTTCAAATCTCGAGAAGTTAGTTACCTCCTGTTACAGATAGGTTGAGAAACTGTTATAGGGTTTCAGTTAGAGGGATTAAGGACAAGGCTGGGTTCTGCTAGAAATTTGGGTGAAAATTGGTTGGTTGTTGGTTATGACAGTTAGGAGTAGAAAAGTTTTGCAAGTCTGTTAGAAATTCTGTTTGAGTTTATTCTGGTTTCAGATTCATTTAGTGAGAGTTTGCAGGGTTATAGTTTTTTCCTGTTATGGTTCGGTTGGTTAGTTGGTTAGAGGTTAGTAAAATAGTTAGGGATTGACAATTAGAATTATGTTTTCATTTTTTCTGCTGTAAGTTCCTGCTTAAAGGACAATTTGTGAAGTTAGTTTTTGTTCTTGGTGATGGTTTGCTGTTAGAGCTCTGTTAGTTACAGGTTTGGGTGAATGAGGATTGGAGGTTAAAACTTATCTTTGCTGGCTGTTAAAAGGTTGGTTGAAATTCTATTTTACAGGGTATTTAGGTATATGATTCATGATCAAGATGCATGATTGTGGTTGAAGGTGTTGCAGATATTGGTTGAAGATGCAAAGGGATAAAGAAATAACAGGTGGTATGAGAATTATTAAAGGTGATGTTGTGAATTGGTCATTTAGAAGTTGCGGAAGATTGGTGCAAGAGGAAACCGTGGATTGGAGGTCGGAGTTGATAAAGGTTCAGAGAAATAGGGGAGTTCCTGATTTTTTTGTGAAGTTTCTTTTATGAATTCTGTCAGGATTCTGTTGTATTTATGACTTAATCCCTTCCCAGTTTCCTACAGGCCAACCGTAATGTTAAGACAGGAGCTGGTTTTCGTAGCAGCCTGATTTCATCTTCTGTTATCCGAATGCCTAGCGAACTGGTTCCGCTTATCAATTTATGAAGGTCTGTTAGAAACTATTGTTTGCTTGAACTTGTTTCACATGAATTCTGGCTTTGCTTTGAACACCATGCAGGCGTCAACTTGAATGTGTCGTCTTTAAAATTTTCAGGCTTATAAAAGAAAGTGAATTGCTTGCTCATGACCAACTTAGTGTTACCTTTTGAACACAATGATGCTTAGGTTTTACTCTGCATGTTTACTTCCACGTCTGCATCAATATGGATTTTAGAATGATTTTTAGGCATGGATTTCATGGGACAGAGGTGCAGACTGACTTGTTGTTTTTCCCGTCTTATTTCTTTGGTGACGCAGGTTCATAGATGTCCATATTTAAATTCTTTTAAACTCTGATGTATGAGTTAGAACATAGGCTGCATTTTCAATTATAGATTGCAGGGTCGTCTGAACATTGGCTAATTGAGATTTGCTTCCTTAATGATGCAGGCTATGAAGAGTTAAAGAACGACAGAGGGCTTAAAGAATTGACTTGGATGAGAAGCATAGTATCAGGTTAAATGGAGACTCGACTCATGGTGTGAAAAGTAGGAAAAGGCTTGGTCATGGGACTTGGATTTATTTGTAACTTTGTAATATTCGATGTATTTTCTTGTAATGATCTTTTAAAAATGAGTAATAATTGTGTGAAGTTAAATATAACTTGAATGAGTTTTTCTTGACCTTGGTAATGCCTTGGACACTTGAATGAATTTGTAAAAACCCTTGATAGACATTGAATTAAGTTGTTTCGTTTTACAAACTTGTCTCGAGAATTATGGATGCCCTTTGAATAAACCTTGTTTGGCTATAACCATTTTACATTCAACTTGAACCTAGCTTAACGTCATGACCATACTTCGTTAATGCTTTTATAATTTCACTTGTTCTTCAAGAAATCTAAATGCCCTTCTTATTTCGAAAACTCCAAACAAATCTAATCCATGATGTTAGGTAGCACTTTAAATGACTCTAAATAACGATTCCATAAAAGCCAAACCAAGTTAATGTCGCCTCCTTGCAACAAATTTTAATTTCCCCCTTAGCCCCATCTTTTGTAATCGAAGTAACAAATAACAATGCCTTGGTCACGTCATATGTCCACAATATCACCTTTGTACCATGGCTTGCATTTTGTAATCCAATTCACACTATATCTTGATTTTATGGATAATAACAATGCCTTGAGGGCACCTTGAAGTGTAGAAAGAAATATAATATGAAACACACTGAACCCTAGTTGATAAATGTTACAAATTCACACATAGAAAATATGACACACTAGTCCACTTGTGCTTGATGAATTCTTGATGGAGGATGACCTTGTAGCTTGATGAAGAAAGATCCATAACATCCATGAACACAAAACCCTAATCCCACAATTTCACTGCCTTGGGAAAATAACCAGAAAAAACAAGCTTTATTGAACATATACACCTCAGGCAATTAACAAAACCCTAGTCATGTTCATAAAAATCATGGATCCAATGCTAATCTTATTGATTAATGATGCATGATGTGTCAAATGACCTAATGTAGTGTATGTAGATGAAATGAAGAGTGCAAGATGCGTAAGCTAGATAAAAGCAAAGGGATAGGACAAATTTGGGGTATTACAGATGGATGATAAAGAAATTCTGTTTGAGAAGACTCCAGTTACAAGTGCTTTGTGTGAAGATGTTTATATCATTACCATTTCCACCAATCCTCCCAAGGTATCCTCCAAAAGACCTGTCAGGATTACATCTTTTCCAAAAGTTGCTCTGTTGATACATACTTTTCTTGGACCTATACCATATTCCTCGGATAAAGTTGTTCCCTGGAATTATGGGGCTGACATCTATTACCATGGCGTAAAGAAAGACCTGTTGGCTATTAAAGACAAAGTTGCTGAAAGTACTGATCCTGACATCGCCAATATAGTTGGGACCAATAAGATAACAAGAAGCAGAAGATTTTTCTCTGCCGAGATCTCTCCAAAAACTGTTGCTACTCCTGTGATCATCCCTTATGGTGATCCTGATAATACTCCCATTACTACTCCTGTGATTGTTCCTGTTACTGCTCCTGTCAATATTCCCATGGCTACTCCTACTGTTAGTCCTACTGTTATCCCTGCTACCGGGTCGGCCGAGACTCGGGGCAAAGAGGTATTGGTTGAGCCTGTCCGGACGAAGGCACATCCAGAAGCCATTCCCGAGGCTTCTAAAAAGGATATGGAAGAGATATTGAAAATAATCAAGAAAAGTGATTATAATGTCGTAGAACAATTGGGGAAGACCCCTTAAAATTTTTTAATGCTGGCCCTACTTTTGTACTCTGAAGCTCATGCCAATGCTTTAGTAAAATTTCTGAAGTCTTCACACGTGCCTCAAGAGACCTCCGCTGATCAATTCGAGAATTTTGTGGCTAGTTTGACAACTGACAATGTCCTGGGATTCTCTGATGCAGACCTAACTCCCAAGGGAAGGAAACACAATGATGCCCTGCATGTCTCCATTGAGTGCAAGGGCACTAGATTAGCCCATGTTTTGGTAGATATAGGTTCATCACTAAATGTCTTACCCAAGAATGCTCTAGACAGGTTGTATTGTGAAGGGCTCACACTAAAGCCCAGTAACATTGTGGTGAGGGCCTTCGACGGTTTTAAAAGAATGGTGCATGGGGAAGTGGAAATCAATATCAATGTTGGTACTCAAACTTTTAATTCCACTTTCTATGTGATGGATATTCACCCGTCTTACTCCTGTTTATTGGGTCGACCCTAGATCCATGGGGCTGGTGCTGTGACTTCCACCCTGCATTAGTTGCTGAAGTACCCAGTCAATGGTAAGATTATCACTGTTCATGGGGAGGAGGAGTACACTGTGAGCCACCTGAACTCTTTCAAGTATGTTGAAATGGACGGCGAGTTCATTAAGACCCCCTATCAGAAGTTTGAGGAGGTACCGCAGACTGTTGCTGCAACCAAGACCACTGCCAGTGTTACTAAGACTGCTAGGCCTCCGCTGGAGATGGCTTCTCTGAAAGATGCCAAGGCAGTAGTTGAAGAAGGTGGGTGTACAATTTGGGGCCAACTTCTAGATATTGCCTACAAATCTGACAAATTTGGTTTGGGTTTTACTTCAGGAGCCCAGAAAGTTGTTCGTCGTGCTCGCATCGGGGGAACACCTTTACGGATCAGCAACCATGGAGTCAATGCCCTTGAAGACAGCGATAGTGATTATGACCTGGACAAGTGGATCTTCCCAACCATCAGCGGTTGACTCAACAATTGGGAGGCTAAATGCTTTGTGCACATTACTTTTATTCAAGAGTAATTTGTCTTTTTGTTTTAAAGAAATGTAATATTTGAACAATTAAAACATTAAAGCCTTGTGTCTTACCCGAGGCACAATGGTCTATTTGTGAGGGTCATTACTTCATTTTCATACGTCATCAATAAAACATTGGATGTTTCACATACAAATTTTACGCTCTTTTTTATTTTATTTTCTGCCTCTTTACTTTATCAAAAATATACAACTATGCTCTTACACACACTCACATATCAAACTGCAGATCTAAATCCATTCTGGATCCCATTGATAACGGTTCTGCTATTGCTCATTATGACTTTGAAAATCCGATCAACCAAGCCGAGGACGAAGGTGAGGAAGATTGTGAGGTACCAGGAGAGCTTTCCAGGATGTTACAACAGGAGGAAAGGGCAATACAACCTCATGAGGAGCCAGTTGAGACAATGAACTTGGGTACTGAAGAGGACAAGAAAGAAGTCAAGATAGGTTCCGATCTGGAGCATAGTGTCAAAAAGCGGTTAATACAGATGCTACATGATTATGTGAAGTTTTTATCTGGTTGTACGAAGACATGCCGGGACTTGACACCGATATTGTGGTTCATCGTCAGCCAACTAAAGAAGATTTCCCTACGGTAAAGCAGAAGGTTTGTCGGATGCGCCCTGAGATGTCAGAAAACATCAAGGATGAAGTCATGAAACAGTTCAATGCCGGTTTCTTAGTTGTCACGTCTTATCCATAATGGGTCACCAATTTTGTTCCAGTACCTAAGAAGGACGGTAAGGTACGTATGTGTGTAGATTACAAAGACCTGAATAGGGCAATCCCCAAGGATGATTTTCCGCTTCCCCATATTGATGTTCTAGTTGAAAACCCCGCATAACATAAAGTATTCTCCGTCATGGATGGTTTCTCCAGATACAATCAGATCAAAATGGAACCTGAGGACATGGAGAAGACGACCTTTGTCACACAGTGGGGCACCTTCTGTTACAAAGTTATGCCATTTGGAATAAAGAACACCGGAGCAACCTATCAACGTGCCATGGTAGCTTTGTTTCATGATATGATCCATCACGAGATAGAGGTCTACGTTGATGATATGATAGCTAGGTCTCAGACTGAAGAGGAGAACCTTGATCACCTACAAAAACTATTTGACAGGCTGAAGAAATACAAATTGAGGCTAAACCCGAATAAGTGCACTTTCGGAGTAAGATCCGGTAAGCTCTTAGGTTTCGTTTTCAGCGGAAAAGGATTTGAAGTAGACCCTGCAAAGATTAAAGCTATACAAGAAATGCCAACTCCTTGCACTAAGAAGGAAGTTAGGGGATTCTTGGGACGTCTGAACTACATAGCCATATTCATTTCACATATGACTGCTACTTGTGAGCCAACCTTCAAATTACTGTTGAAAGATCAAGTAGTGAAGTGGAATGGCGATTGCCAGTATGCCTTTGAAAAAATCAAGGAATATCTCCAAGAGCCTCCAATTTTAATGCCACCAGTTAAAGGAAGACCTTTGATCATGTACTTAACAATATTAGAGAACTCAATGGGGTGTGTGCTGGGGCAGCATGACGAGTCTGGTCGAAAAGAGCACGCAATATACTACCTTAGCAAAACGTTTACCAACTGTGAAACAAGATACTCATTACTCGAGAAAACTTGTTGTGCTTTGGCATGGGATGCTCGCCGACTAAGATA